GGCCAAGTTATGGAGTTGTTGTTGCCATGTTAGGGCAATTCAGCAAAAGCTGTCCACAAAAAAAGGAGAAGACAAGTCAATGTCAGCATAGGTGGTTGTGGAAAGGAGACAAAACCTTTACAATGAACATGGAAATATACTCCATGCATGGAAGCCCATGTACTGGTTTTTTTGTTTATTTGTTCCATGGCCTAAGGTTGAAGATATTGCTTAATCTTTGAAATTATAAAATAATATAGGACTTTGTTATTTGTGCATATGTAATTAAGTTCAACGTTGTTTAATTTTATTACATTTTTCCCCCTAAAACTTGGTGATATCTCTTTGAAGTCCACCATAGGTTTCAATGCGGGTACCTTTCATTGAGCCTGAAACAAGGGGTGGGTGGATAAGGGCCTTGTGGGGATGCAACATATGTTCCCTTTTGGAAAGCGAACGTCGTAATATTATTGAATATCTGGAGTTGTCAAAAATGGACGGAAGAGAATCCGGATCAATCAAGTGTACTTTCGTGTCTACTCCTAAGAGACGTCTTTATTGACTCAATACACGTGGTTTTTTTAGGATTGTATTATACCAAGTTTATGTAGGTGTCACAAGTCTAATCGACATATGATTTAGACGGTTTCTCATGAATTAAAAAGACAGAGACTGGTAGTCATCAGTATGGTGATGGTGCCGAGAGACCTCAGTTTTAAAGAAAAACACAGATGGAGCACAGAAGAGTGGCATGTGATCACTACCGCTTTTGTTTTCTTTTCAATTTCTTTACCTTCTCTGCTCAGGTTTCTTTAATTTTAGTTGTATTATATTAAAGATGCACAGATGATGAAAGAAAAATAACGAAGCAGTGGACATACTGCTTTTTTACAGAATTTATATTTATCTAAAGACGATTAATCTTCAAAGATAAAAAATGATTTAATCAGAATAACAGATGGGTAGGGATTAGATTATAAATTTTAAGTACAGCCCTCTGGATCAGTAATGCCTAGGATACCACATATTATAACACTTATCTTCGTTGTAGAAGTACATCCCCCCTCCCCCCCCGTTTTTTTTTTTAACGGTTAGGGTATTTATATCTCGATTAATTTTTTCTTCTGTTTAGTCAAATACAGGCCATCCACGCCTGAACTAAAATGTTCATGAGGGATAAATCTCTCATGGTCTATCCCCAAAAATTATTAAGATTTGAACTCAGAACGTCTGAATTTACAACTCATTTTTGGAGCATCTTCAACCATAACTCGAATTTAAATTAATATTTGAATAAAAAAGCTTGATTTGATATAAAGGGCTCTAATGAACAAACTCAAATTTAAGGAAATAGAGACCTAAATTTAAATGAGAGCAAATTCAAATTTAAAAGGGAGTAAAGATGATCATTGAATCTTTAAAAGATTGTGAAATTTCACTATTAAATATTTGAGTAAAAGTTTGAGTCTCCCTTAATTTGAGTAAAAAAATGAGTTTCTCTTGATTTGATATAAATTTGAGTTAAGGGTTAAATCAAGTTTTTTAAACTTTTTTACTTAAATTTAAATTTGAGTAAGGGTTGGAGATGCCCTTAGGGGTGCAACTTGGCCGTAGGACTGTTAAAGAAGTCAAACTTGAACATTTTTTTAAGCTCGTTTATGTGTAAATAATCAAACAAGGCAGCTCGTTTAAGTGTAAATAGTCGAAAGTTTAGGTTCAAATTCAGCTCAATTATCACCCATACTTAGGCGGACTAACCTGAATTCAACTTAAGCTAAACCCGAAAAAAAACAGGGCTTGAGTTAGAATTTGTAATACTTGGGTTGGGTCTGGGCAAAAAAATTTCAATCCGAATTAAATTTGGGCAAGCCTCGAATTGAGACCTCGGATTCAACTCGAATATTAAAATCGGATTGAACCCGAATATACATAAATATATAAATAAATTTAATTATGGTTAGTATTTATATTCACTCTTTAGAGTTCAGATTTTCACTTCATTTCAAGTTTTCACTTATGCGTCTTCATCACTCTCAGATTCCTCTCACTCGTCATTCTTTCCTCTCTTAGCCTCTCTCTCTCACTCATTACTCCTTTCTCTCTATTCATTTGCGTCTCGTCCTTCATTTCAAATCACTACAAAAATTCAACCCGAATTAAGTAACTCAACTCCAATCCGATTTTTAATTCAAAATCAACCCTAATTAAGTAACTTGAATTCAATCCGAGTTCACCCGAATTAAACTCGGGCAGTACTCGGGTTGACTTAGTGTCAGGATTAAAAATTATATATTTAAGGTTGACCTCTCAAATCACCCAACCCACCTGAGTTGCACCCCTAATTCTGTTACCACTTGAGTTACTCTTTGGTTGTCTCTCTATTACCACTTTCTCAATTACACCGACATGAAACACTTCTAGAGCTCCTACCATGAAACATGTTGTGGGGAGAAATCTACGGCAAGGAAAGAAAAATATCGGTACCATACCATTATTTATAAATTTTTAGGGTCATTTATAATTGTTAGTAAGATCGGTCGCAAGCCACCTCACAAGTTGTAAATAACCTCCAAAAAATTATAATTTAAACCTTACAAATTATAAATTTTTGGGGTCATTTACAATTTTTTTTTTTTTTGCAAACAAACCTATCCAATGCAAACGGTCATAGTCCCACAACTTGACTGAATCTAAAACAGTGGAATTTAGTCATGAGCAGAACTCAAACCTACATTATCAGATCAATTATATCCAACTTTTTTATTATTCAGATCGTGAAACTTTAGCCAAGCATAAATCATAAGGACAATAAGGAAAATTCATTTCTCAAAGGTAGATAATTTGGGAAAGTTTAAAAAAGGGGAGATGAACTGAGCACTCACACACACATGGGGTGCTTAGGTCAGTGTGATCTATGGTGAATTCAATCAAATGTTGTTGATTCTTCAAGTCAATGGGATATATATAGTTAAGGCTCTAACAATTGAATTGGGATCTTAGGCCTCAAGATGGAAAAAAGGCTTGAGGGAGGAATCTTGCTCAAAGATCTCTCATTTGGATACGAGACCTATCACTGTCTCCTAAATTTTATGATTATTCATAGACCATTACCATCTTCTCTTATTTGTGACTTGTATATCACCCCATTTCACGCTCTTCTAAATTTTTTTATCTCAACCTACAAAACTTATAAAACATAGTGGAACAATGCTTTTTTTTTTTTTTTCCAGAACCATAGTCTTCTCCCTAACATGGGAGTACTTCAGATTCACGACTCAGTCAGAATTTGACTATTGCAATGTATGCAATCTGTGATTAACTTTTTGGGCAAATTTTGTTTTGCATCAAGACTTCAAGATTTTTATTTTGTATCCTCAAAAATTATATTTCACACATTACACCTTCAATGTACCAAAAATATTTCAATGCAACCCTTATGTTAGTTTTTTCCGTCAGTATCAATGGATTAACTTTTGACGGAAAAAATAACGGAAACTAACAAAAAGATCATATTGTAATACTTTTAGTATATTAAGAGTGGAATGTGAAAAATTTAATTTTTAAGAGTACAAGTGAGAACCCTGAAATATTTCAACACTGAAATTATGAAAAACCCTAACTTTTCTATAGTCAAAATTTATATCATAGGTATAACTCCAACAATTTTTCATAATAAATGACAAAAAAAAAAAAAAAGCGATGCTAAAGCTTATGTCACTGCAGAAAAGTCGTATGAATTTGCTAGTTTGAAAACAAACTAGAAAATCACTATCGAATGATTGGTCCAATTGTAAAAATTCAAAAAATTTTGCTCAATATTTGAGTTCGAATTTTTATAAGTACGACGATTTGATGAAATTAAATCTATTCGTCAATATCTAGAGAACACGATGGACCTTAACTTCGGCCCAATGTAAATACGGTGAGGGGTAGCAGCCACTCACGAATGTATGGAGTGATTTATCGTATTCATATTATCTGTGACAAAAAATAAAAAGGAAAATGACAAGCTTGGACTGTGATAAGGATTTTATAAGTATTAGTTATTTATTTATTTATTGATTTTTCTTTTTAAAATATCTGTCACTTTTCTCGAGGTCCAAGAGTGGGTGGTGGAATTGAATTCCGTGCTAGAAGATATGCAAAACACCCACCAACGGATCGATTTCAGTGATAGCAGAAAACGATGGACAATCCCATCGGTAAATGAATTGAATCTCTCCGGCCTCCTCTAACATTCTCTGTAAAATCCGCTTAATTTTACAACCAGATACATCATCTGTTCTTCACTGAAATTCATGTTGGCCAAACAATCCTATAAAAATTTTATATTTATATTTCATGGTTCAAGACAATTTGAGACTTAAAATGACAATATTAAATGAAACTTTTTTTTAATTTTTATTATTATTTTTTAAAAAATAATAATTTATTATGTGAGAGAGAGACAAAAGAAGACGTGTTAGTGTTATCAAGAAAAATATTTTAAACTTTTTTTTTTGTTTTTAATCAGAGTGAGAGTTCAACTTTAAGTTTTTTTTTATATATTTTTTTACTTATTTTTACACAGAAAGAGAGTGAGTTGGAATAAATTTAAGTTAATTTTTGAGTACTTTTTAACTTATGATTTTTAGGTTTATGATGTTATGGATTGAATCATGGACCCTAATCCTTTTTTTTTTTTTAATACTGTTGAGCCGTTGCAACCCCAGATTGCAACCCCAAATCATGAGCCGCCCTTAACAGATACATCATCATCTGTTATGTACTACCTCAGCAAATCATGCAATGATGCAATCCATATCACATGCTTTCTCAAAGCCACAAAGTCCAACATATCTATGCACGTACTTAAAAGGATATGATATCACCTTGTTCCTCAAGGATATTGTACAGATTCTCCTAAAAAAATTCCAACTAAACCTAATATAACAAACCGGAACTAAAATCATTGGCTCGGGATAATTAGTCAAGTGTTCTAAGAAACCAGATATGTTTTGTATTTCTTAAAAAATAAGTGCTCAAAAACAAAATGACGGAAGAAACTAATACAAGAATTTGCCCGATTTCGGCAAATGAAACTCAAAAGGACATCGAAGAGTCTACACCCCCTACTCTTATAATCCCCCTCCTTTTTTTTCTTTTTTCTTTTTTCTCATATTAAAAATTCTTTTTGAAGAACAAAAAAACTATAAAAATTTAAAATAAGTCAAGAAACATTAGCAGTAAGGAAATTAGAAAACTACTAAAAAGAAAAAACTATTGACTAATTTTTTGCCACGAAACTTCGAGTTCCACTCCTTGATTCCCTACACTTGCACCTACTAGATCAGCTGATGAAAGTTGGGCCCAGTTTGTTGATGAATCAAGTAATCATCAATCTTAGATAGATCAAACATCATGTTCTGATGAAGAAACTGATGTTGCTGCTGTTGCCGAGCCCTTTGTACCTCTTTTTGCCTCCTCAGCTCAATCACTTTCCGATGAGAATTTGAGTGTTTAGTGAGCACAAAAGTCGGGCTTGCTGCGGGTCGGTATTCGGGCACGAGCCGGCCCGATTTATACCGGACTCCGCAAGCATTGCAAAGTGTTTTCGGGCCCATGGGCCCAGTCCTCCATTGTGGTGTCTTGTCGGTGGCACAATGAAGACACTTCCGCCCATCCCCACCACTCGTATTGCCGGCGTTGTCTGTGGCTTCCTTCTTTATTGTTATCTCTTTCACAGTCTTCTCGCCGGTACTCGAACCAATGCCGGAGTCTGAGGACGAAGCCATTGTGGTCATGTTGGTGGAAGAGACGACGGAAAGGCGGGTCGTCCAGTTGCATGGGGCGGCGCGTGAGCGCTTGCTACGTGCTTTCCCGGGGAAAGACATTTCGGGATGGAATATCGAAGTGTTTCGAGATGTTTGGTGGCTTTCCGATACTTCGTCAGTTCGGACCTGCCTTCCTGATATCAGGTGGAGCTTCTGCAAATCCTCACTAGAGAATGATTCTTCCACAAAATTGGAGAGCCACTCGAGCTCAGCCAAATCATCGTACTGCACAAAAATTGCATTAACAAGATCATATCTACTAACATCAATACACTTGTCTTTGAATTTTGCAACCTTATGTGTTCTAAAACAGTTCAAAAATAACATTTTGAATCCTTAATTTTTTTTTTTTTTGAGACAATCATGATCTTTTTTCTTAGATGGGTTGAATTGAATTTTCAAGAGCAATTTTCTTTTTCTTTTTTAAACTTATCATTGGAAAACGAGAAGCAACATGATGCTTGTGGGTCATACAATTTCTTATCAAGCAATGCTATAGGACCTAATGAGAGACTTAATTATAAATTTTAATGTTAAATAAAACTCAATTTTAATGTAATAATCGCATTAAATTAGGTCACAACTAACATTTTTTTTTTTCTTTATCTCTTGGTTTATTTCTCAGCTACCTATCAGAAAAGTAGAAGTTTCTCTTTCTAGAAGAAAACAAAAGCCATTGAAACAAAATTCCTTCAGCATATTTACGTACAAAAAAGATAAAGTTTTGAGTGTCAAAGTTAATAAATTTCAACAAACTATGGTAAAGAATTTTTGAAATTAGAGTCCTAATATTACCGGCACGCAAAGGTCGCTAGAGAATTGGCCATCAGAGAAACTCCGGCAACCCATTTCACCGGAAAAGTGAGGTTCATTTACGGAGAATGATGAAGAGTTGCAGCTTTCAACGGCGGTGACAGTGGAGGAGTACTCAGTGGAAGTTCCGGCGACGGTGTCAAACGTACCATCATCGACAGCAACATCGTCGTTAGGGTAGTCAAGGAGGTCTTCAATGATGAAATGGTCACCGGGTTTGGCATCTGAGTGTCGCTTTTCGGGTGCGAATTGGGTGTTGTCGTATGTTCCTTGGAAGAATTCTGGAGTCTCCATTGAATGTTATGGTGAATATGCACAGGAGAGGCTCTGAGAGAGAGAGAGAGAATAGACAACGAGAGTATGTAGGAGAGTGACTGTGTCTATGTGGTTCAGTTTAGAGAGAGAGAGAGAGAGAGAGAGAGAGAGAGTCTCTTTGAGAAATGAAGTTTTGGAGGGGAGAGAGAGAGAGAGGTGGGGAAAGAAGAGAGGAGGAAAGGGTTTATTTGCGCTTGAAGGGGGACAGGCGGACAGCTAAAAAAATGGAGGAGTTTGACTAGGAAAAAAAATATATGGTTTTGAGAACAGTAAAAAAAGAAGGAAATTTGATGTGAAGTTACGATATAGTCCCTGACCTTGTTCTTTAGACTAGTTTTTTTTTTAAAAAATTTATTGTTTTCTCTCTTTTTTTTTTTTTTTTGTACACAATAGATCAGAAAAGCTCTTTTGCATAATGCAAATTTCTAGGCAAAAGTTCCATGGGGCCATAGACAAAGAACCCACCGTGATCATAACTGTTATAAAATGGTTAGAAAGTACAAAAATGAAATAGAAGTGACTAATTAAATCATATTTCAGAATATTACGTTTCAAATAATTGTAAGAATCCAAGTAAAACCATTTGTGCATAACATGAAACAGTAGTAGATATGGAACATGTTGGAATTTCTGTTTATGGTGGCGTGTTATAAGGGCAAATTGGGTAGTATCTTTGTTCACCCAATCGAACTCGAAGATTAATTTATTTACTAGAAAAAATTGAGTAATTAATAGCCCAATTAAATCCAATCTAATCCCCTTGAGAACCGATCAAATCTGTTAGAAATGTTAAAATCAGTTTCAAGTGTAATTAGGCCAAGAATGTTGCCAGGTTTTGTCTCAAGACAAGCAACTCTCAGGGGAAAGATTATGGTGTTTAGAACTGATTTTTTTATAGGTAAAAAGTTGTAGTATAAAAATCTTCCTAAAAAACTCAATGTTAAAAAAAATTTCAAAAAGCTTTGGGGTGTTTTTTAAAAAAAATTATTTTGAATGACTTTCTATCTTTTTTGTGTCAAAATAAAAATATATATTTTTACTGAACAAGAGCCAAAATAAAAATATATATAAATTATGTATAATAGTTCCAAAAATAAAATTTTCAATTTTTTTTAACGTCATTAATAATATTTTTATGAATATAATAAATTAAAAAATTATGTAAGATCTACAACAAACCTCCAAAAAGTCAGAAAAAAAAAAATTCATAAAATTAGTTTCTAGAATAAGCCTAAATAAGCATTTTTTTTGTCTAAAAAATTGATTCATAAGCCAGTAAATAAACCAAAGTCCAAACATATCTAATTTATTTTAGGGTTAATATCATTTTATACTCCGAAAGATCGTTCGAATCTCAATTTGTACCCTCAAAGAGCAAAAATCTCAATTTGCACCTTTAAAGATAAAAATTTGTATCAATGTGCACCCCCAAAGATCAAAAATCTTAATTTGCACCCTCAAAGATAAAAATTTGTATAAATGTGCATCCCCAAATATCAAAAATCTCAATTTGCACCCTCAAAAATAGAAATTTATATTAATGTGCACCTCAAAGATAAAAAATCTCAATTTGCACTCTCAATTATAGAAATTTGTATCATTATGCACCTAAAACTAAATTGATAAATTATACCTAGATCCCCTCATGTTTGTCACTTAATCATTTGGATCTCTTTATATTTAGAATATTACTCTTACATCTCATGACATTTATGCACGTACAACATGTAACCCATTTTCATTGATATTTGTTAATATAACCGTTAAAAAATATAATTTTATCCTAATAAAAAATTATAATTTTATATTGCCTTTATTTTATGGGTCCAATATACTCTAAAATTCAAAATCAAGTTTACCATTTGAATGTCTAATAAAATGTAGATATTTATATAATATTTTTCATATTTTCTTTTATATAAATATCTACATTCTATTAGACATTCAAATGATAAACTTGATTTTGAAATTTAGAGTATATCAAATCCACAAAATAAAGGTTAATATGAAATTATAATTTTTTATTAAGATAAAATCATATTTTTTAACGATTATATTAATAGATATCAACGAAAAGTGGTTATGTTTACACATGTACAAACGTCATGAGATGTAGGGGTAGTATTCTAAATGTGAAGGGGTTCAAATGATTAAGTGACAAACATGAGGGGATCTAGGTATAATTTATCAATTTAGTTTTAGGTGCACATTGATACAGATTTCTATCTTTGAGGGTGTAAATTGAGATTTTTTATCTTTGGGGGTATACATTGATACAAATTTCTATCTTTGAGGGTGTAAATTAAGATTTTTGATATTTGGGAGTGTAAATTGAGATTCGAACGATCTTTCGGAGTTCAAAATGAGATTAACCCTTTATTTTACTCTAAAACCCTTACAAACTACCTATTTAACCTATCTCCAAATAGGCCCAGTGTCATTGGTACTGAAAATTATAATTTTATAAGTTTAAATTACAATTTTTTGAGGTATAACTTTCAACTATTGAGATGTAAATTACAAAGGCATGATCGATCTTAGAACAGTACGACTGATAATGAAAGTAAAAACTTTTAAATTTCAAATTCCAACTCATAAAAGGTAAATTATAACTGCTTAAAAATTTCATGAATGATTACCAGGAATAGCATTGTTATTAAAAGTAATAATTTTTGGTACAGTAGTATTATTATTATTATTTTTTTACCGCAAAGTTTTCCAACTCTTAGATTATGCAAGGATGGCCCACAAATATCATCTATGTGGGTCATCAATATCGGGTCCCACTCATTGTTCAAACAAAGTGACTCAGCAAACTCGAAAGTGCAAAGCCAAAGCTGGTGATCATCATAGTTATGATCGCCCCCAGTTTGTACAATAATAATCACTGCACGAACCATACATAATCATTTGAACTCCGTCCCTGTAACTATGTTGTGGTTGCTTTGAATACTTGCCATCTGCATGGGCATTTTGGTAAATGGATTTTTTCTTTTTGGATGAACACAAATCTCAATCTAATTTAAAGTATGATAATAATCGAATAAAGATCTCAAATTTTATGACCTCAATTGGAGTAATTCTAGAATTGAACCCAAATTTTAACTCAATTATTAAACTCAAAATTTTTCTCGAGTTTAATAATCAAAAGACATGTAGTACTTGAGTTAAAGGTTAGAATTAAGAAGAAGTCTATGGTACTGGAAAAAAATTTGTATTATACCATTATTTATAAATTTTGCGAGTCATTTTTGAAAAAAAATTGGGACTAATTTACAACGTTTGGAGGTCATTTACAACTTTTAGATTGCTTATGATCGATCCAAAATTGTGATCGACTCTAAAAGTGAGTGATCCTAAAAAAATTTAGGATCAATTACAAGCACCTCGGAAAAATATAAATAACCCTTGAAAAAATTGTACTTTGAACTTGTAATTTTTATTTTATTTTTGTTGTAGACTGACTTAAAAGTCTGTATCTCACCCCACAAAACTTATGGATTTTTTTTTCCCATTAGTATAGTTTTCTCCTAATATTGATAGTTTTGCTATTAAGGATACACTGACATAAACCGGTAGTCCAACGGTTTGGAATTGGACATAAATAAACCGTAAACCAAAATAGTAGTGTCCAAAACAACCCCGCCTTTGAGACGTTCCTCATTAAAAAAAATTAGTGTTTAGTAAAAATTAGTGCTTAAAAATTAGTGTTTAGTAAAAAATTAGTGTTTATGAAACAATCTATCTAGCAGGTTTGTCGGTGCAACTCGTGTATTATTTACTTATTAGCGTCAAAGTCTTTTCTTTTTTTAACTTTTTTCTCTCTGGGCTCGGGCTTTAAATTTCTTTTTAAATTATAATCTCTGGTTTTCAACTTTATTTTAATTATATTCTATTTAACCCCATAATTATTTTAATATTCTTTTGTGAACCCCAACTTGTAACCACGACGTTTTACAGCTCAACTCTAATCTGTATTAACGGCCATGATCTCTCCCCCAAACGTGTCTGCCTATTATAACACCCCTACTCTCCTTCGGTTTTTGCCATGCCTTACTGAAAAATTATAATTTCTAAGGAAAATTTAAGTCACACCCTTCCTATTTATCGTATCTTTAATAACACTTCATCTATTTTTTGAATTTTTATTGACACTTCCTATCAAATTAAAAGTTTTAACTAGAATATAATTTTACTAAATTGTTCATGATATATTTTAGACAAAACTTTATCCACATCCCTCTAGATAAACATATCTTCAATGAGACTCCCTTTATTTTATAAATTTGTGTACATATTAAAATTTGGATCTATTAAAATTCGATTTGTGTCGATTAAAATTCAAATCGAATTTTAATCAACTTGTATTGAATTTTAATCGATCCAAATTTTAATACGTAAAAATAAATAAATTTTAATTGACTCAAATTTTAATACGTAAAAAATGAATTTTAATTAACTTGAATCAAATTTTAATTGACAAGAATTTTAATAATTAAAAAATATAAAATTTAATCAGCGCTAAAAACTCAAGTTGAGCTCAAATCGGTTCGAATTTTAATACATAAAAAAATCAATTTTAATAGACTCGAATCTTAATACATAAAAAAATTAATCAACCTTAATTGAATTTTAATCGGCTCAAATTTTAATATATAAAAAAATAAATTTTAATCAACTCGAATTTTAATATATAAAAAAATAAATTTTAATCGGTTCGAATTATATGTTGAAAAATTGTTTGGGGTTTATGTAAAAGTATTTTTGGTATTTTTCTTTTTAGAAATGATGATTTAATAACAAGAATTAGAAATGATGTTAGTAATGTTTTTAAATAATATAAGGGGTATCATTAAAAATATGATAAACTAAAAGATGTGTGGCTGAAATTTTTCCAAATTTTTATGAAAAAGTTATTATTTTTTATAATAAATATTCAAACGATAAAAGATAAGATTGATTCTCATTTTTTTCCAAAT